AAAAAAAAAAAAAATGAAAGTGCAAAAAAATAAGTACGTCTTAGTATAATATAAGTCATATTAAACAAAATTTAACTTCTTCTAGCTGAAATGGCATGCGTGTAGGTGAAATAACAAAAATACTATTTTGGAAGAGTTCCACACAATTAAGTATTATAGACTGTAGTGCTCACAAGGCACATTTTTAAACAGTCAAAACTGCATGGTTAATAACCTTTTTACACTTTACAAACACATACACCAGATATGCACAATGACATGTATTATATAACAAAAATAACATTTATTAATCATTAATAATACAAAATAAATACCTTCTCAGTATACTGTAAAATATAAATTAAATATAAAAATAAAGATTTATTCAAACGGTATTATTACGGTATATAGTATATTATACCAATATTATACATGAATAATTTAACCGTTCTGAAGGTATTTGAGCTCCTAGTTACAATAAGGAATTTGATATATTATTAAATAATTACAAAAGTAATGTTCCACACGGTTCGTTTTTCGTTTATGTAACTTCGAACACGCCAAGTAAAAGATAATAACATTATGTACACAAGTAAACATAAGCATATAAATGCATATATATAAATATTATATTTAGACATTATAATGCCGTATGGAATAAAATATTTTATAAAAATAATTCGATAAACAGTCTGCATTGCAATTTGTGCATATACAATGGAAAATAAACGAATTAATAAATAAACGCAACAAACATATCAACTGCAACGTGTGCAAGTTTTGTCCGTATGAGTATATTAAGTATACACGCGCAGCAATATTAATATACAACATCCTAAAAGTCAATTTTACAAAATATTAACGTAGGTATGTATACAGAAATGCGCAGGCATTGAGGTATCCAGTGACTGGTGTCGAGAGGTTGCGCCGGTCTCCTTTCAAATGTTCAAACACCTCAACTTCTTCTCGGGCACCATTGACGAGAACGACGGCCGGTGGTTGGAGAGTACGTCGTCCGGCCGCACGCCGTTGGCCACCAGCCGCTCGAGCACCAGCCGCTCCAGCGCCTTGAGCTCGTCATCCACGCGATGCTGGGGTGCGTGCTGCCGCTCCCACTGCGCCAACCGTATCACGTACTCGGCGTTGTGCCCGGCCGGGCCCGAGCATGTGGCCACCTGGGCGGCCAACTCGTCCACCGGCGCTTGGCCCAGCCACTGCCCGTTGTCCGGCGTGGCCACGTACACGGTCGCGTTCACGGTCCGCAGCCCATCGTCCGTCCGCACGTTCACCTTGTGCACCTCATAACCACCCATGTACACCTCGCGCATCTCCAAGTATTTGAACGCTGTTTCGTCCGGCAGCTGAAACGCTTTGCCCCACACGAAGCCCTGCAACAACAACAACGACGACCAATCGTCTTGTGAACATGTACACGGTTCACATTACATTGTTAATAATTAATATTATTACGGCCAATGCAATACATCCCTCAGGGCTCGGATTTTGCACGAATTATTTATTACATCATACGCGGATAACCTCGTCACTACGTATATTATGTTATTTATTTCGAAGCTATAGCATAGTCACGAAGAAATTACAGATTACCTAACACCTATATAGTTTTTGGACATTTCGATTGTTGAGACCGAGGAACAACTAAGTCTCAATCGGAAATACTTTAATCTCGTTAAGTCGAATATGAGTGATAAAATATGAAAAAAAAATATGGAAATAATTTAAGCCTATGCGTACGGATAACGGTAGTGCAAGTGTGTTTTAAATTGGTCATTATTGTCAACAGTTGTGATTTCCATTGTTCTACATTATTTTTTTTATCCAAAACTGATTACACCATAAATGCGCGTAAGCCATAAAAAAAATCATATTTTATCTTGTGTGTAACTGTAGATATTCATTCAGTTTCTCAACACGAATAACCAATGATTAACCATTTAAATAAGATAATTTTCTCAAGACATTTTTTAGTTTTGTTGTGATGTGATACGAAGTTGATGTACCTTCACAATTTTCAGCACATATTTGAGTTTAGTTTTTGAGTTAATAAGATGGAGACCTAATCTTAATCTTGATATAACAACAATACAATATATTTCATATTATTATGCGTATGCGTGTGTATACTATATTATATGAATATTGTTGCATTTCCGGTCTGTTTCAATGTATCCCACATAATATCACTCCCCCACGATATCGAAAAAAATTAAATTTATTAATTTTTTCTCTACCGGGTGGCGAGTGCATTCGGATAAAATATGACGCATAGAGTAGCTAGCCGAGAGATCATTAGATCGTTAAATAAAAAAAAACGATAACACATCCGAACGGTCGATTATTCTCCTTTTCAACGAGCAAACATGGTATGCATAGAGCGGAGGGCATATTTTTCAAGTACTTGAACGGGAAACTCTATAAGTCAAAAAAAAAAAGATTCCTATCGCCCCAGAAGTCCAAAACAGCGACGGATAAATCGTTGGTGTATTTAGATCTAAGGGATATACGAGTACATAGGTGCATACAAGAGCTGAAAGTGACATAAAGTAGTCGACGTTAAAGGGCCAAGGGATCAATAGGACGGGAGCAATAAAAAATAACATTTTCGTTCCGTTAACATAAACAGTCTGTGTGAAGGGATTTTTTTTTAACTTTCAACCAAATACCTACTTCTATTAAACTATACACCGGTTGGTCGTTGCACCATCGTACGAGACCTAAAGATCGACCCGATTCTATAGTATATTATGTAATAACTAGTAATACTTGATAGTAACATAATTGCTAGATAAGCATTACCTATACATAATATGTAGAGTAAAGATAATTACAATGAAAATCGCATATTAACTAGCCAATTACTCGAAAAACTTGTTTCTACTAAACATACATTATGTGAATATTTAATAATGAAAATTCATATAGATAATGATTTTCGATAATGATATACCACAAAATAAATAAATATGATGCTATCCACTTTCGAAATGTGAGAATTATATTTATTTTCCAGACATACGCACCCGCAGGGGGAGGCAAAGGGGCCATTGCAAAATGTTTGTTTAAAATCTATTGTTAATTTAATACCACGCATACTAATTATAACATAATTTTATTGAGATCCATTAGTAAAGTTCAGTAAAATTTATTATACTTTTAGACAAACTAAAATGTAGAATCTTGAACGTATTTATTAGTTTACAATGTTTATACATGACTGCATATCACTTAGAACTATAAATTCTCCCGAGTACCGATTTCTATGATATTTAATTTTATTTTCATCTATTTTTAGATACACATTGTTTTGGCCTTTAGAATTTTAATCTTGTTCCTGGTGGGATTTTATCCTGCGGGCGCGCTTGTTTCCAGATAACAAATATCATATTGCATTTTTCTTACTCGCCATACACAAACCATCAAGTGTTACATTATGGATATACAAGTACTGAAATTATCATGAACTACAATATAATAATTGCATTCAATGTTACAGCAATGCAATGTTCGTGCGGTCGAATATAGTTTTTCTTTGTCGATGTTTTCTGTTTATATATTTATACAATATTTTTATAATGCAGTTGAATTTAAATTAGATTTTTAGTCTTTGTTATCGTTATTTGTATTACTTAGGCAAAGTGTCCATGTTAATCAATTAATTTTTTGTGCACGTTACATATACACATATCACTCTTTATAAGAGTTAAAATAGTTATGTTTAGAGTTTTTCAAACTATAGGTTTCTTTAAAGAAATTTCTTATACATCTATATAATAATAAATAATAATAACAATGCAGTAAATGTCTCATAATTACGATGTTATAACTTACGTACCATTCATTGATAAAATTATAACAATTATGTTACCCCGAAAGTAGTAAAGACATTTCATTATGATGTGTAGTTTCCGACGTGAATAACCTGTCATAAGAACTACTCTTACAATTTCAATATAAATTGAATTTTCTAAATAAAAAAGAAAATAATGTATAGATTAATTTATAAAGACCAATTTTAATTTAAAAATAACGGGTATAATAACATAGGGATAGGGATAGCCGGATAGAAACCTTTTTGGTCTTATAATATCTATTATTATTTTTAAAATCTTATTCCCAAGGTTACAATACCGAGTTTCTGAGTTTTGATTTATAATCGCTACCGTCTTATAAAAATTATAGACCTTTTTACTCATGACGTGCAATTCAAAATTATTTATCATCTTCAGAATTTTTAAACTTAATATTATTTTAATTAGTATTATTATTTTTAATATGTATTATGAATACTATTCGTTTCAACAATTATCATAAACCAAGTAGTAATGTTTCATTTTTTTGTTAATGTCTATTCTATTAAAATTTAGAAGTAAATAATCCAATAATTTTTGAACTTATCGCATATTTATTACAAATATATGTACCAATTCGTAAGCTTTATAACATATTCAACAGTATTTTTATTTTGCGCTAGACAAATTTATATTTAATTTAAGTTCATTATACAAATTATTATCATTGTTTACTAAATTTAATTTTTAAGTCATTATTTAATCATATTTTGTTATAGAACGATAAAATTGGCTATGATTATTTTGTTTAAGAAAAAAATATAAAGTTGGAAGTATTGAAAGTTATAGTTTGTAATAAAAATAATGAATATATTATATATAGAATATAATAATCAAAAAATAAAAATGTATCCATATATTTTATAACTTGAAATGGGATCACCCAAAACAATAATGACAATTGTATTGATTAATTTATTTTGAGAATAACGCCTCTAAGAGTAAAATAGTACCTACAGTGTTGTGGAGTAATACATACTGTAGTTAATATAAATATATCAGTTAGGTACGAGAAGAAGAGTTAACATTTAGAGGATATTAATAATTAATAAACAATATTATAATAATAAGGTCTAATCGATGAATGTAGGCACTAGGGACCTATATAGTTTGATAGTAGATTGTCGATTTCAGAAGTTATATTGCAAATATAATATGAGTTTTAAGTGTAGTAACAATGATTGTTAGTAAAATGCACTATAATTATTCAATTTTATGATTTATAACACAAGTTTATATGGTTCAATGTCACCTGTATCTATTGATTAAATCATTTTTAAGTTATAATTAAAAATACTTTTAAGTTTTCTTTTTTCAAAACAATGTTTTTTTTATAATTATTGCATTTGTTTTTGACGAGCACTAAATATATTAAATATAGGTTTATTCCCTTCAATAATTGTGTTAACTATCAGTTATGAATGTTTTGTAGATTAGTATGAATTTCATGGAGTTTATAAATATTATACAGGAAATTGATAATAAAACTTAATTTAACTAATATTGGATATTCTGAATTAAGTCCATTCAACCACGTACATATTTTACGTCGATTAAATACTAATAATTATAAAATACATTAAATGGTATATAAAATGGTTCATAAAAGTTTCTTAGTTGGTAAACGTATTTTTTCGGTCGTTCATATACCTACAGAATACCTATAGAAGCATATTATAAACAAAATACAACAATTATTTCTCATTCTATTATACAATAAGTTATGAAGGACGTGTTTTTTTTTCATGTTTACTAAACGGAATGCGGTTAAATCTATAAGGAAATACATTAAGTTTACGTATCACGGTATCTATTAAGTAGAGAATTTAAAATTTAGTTACCTGAGGGTCTTCGATTAATGTGGCCACTCGTCCAGGCTGAAAAATATAATATTAACCTAAGTTAGTTTTTTTTGCTGTAATGTGCGAACAAAGGCAAATTAAAAAAAAAAAAAAAACCTAAGTTAGTCAGATAGATGTTTTCGTTTCAATTTTATAAACAACAATATAACAAAATAATACTTGATATAATACATTATTTATTATACATACAATAAAATGTGTATAATGTGTAAATGGAACAATACTTTCGTTGGGAGTGGAGTGAGTAAAATATATAAGTGTTTATTCTGAATGGCTTTGTATATTAGATACAGTTATGATTGAACCATGTTCATCATAATAATATGATGTATGTCTAAGTAAAAGAAGACCATATTGTGATTTTCACACAACTCCTCAGTTGTATAATAAAAAATAAAACTCAAACAATAGATTCCAACAGCGAGGAAGATTTTATTCTTTTGAACATCATCTTTCTTTTATTTTTTATTTTTTCATAATACATTTGTTTCATTTTCACAATACTCATGTTAATCGGCATTCGACTGTCAGATTTTTTCTAGTTTACCAAGAATAGAGGGATTTATAATATTATCATATTATACAATAATAATTTAAATAAATGTTTATAAATATTACCCATAAGGATATTATTAGTAATTATTTATTACTAAATGCATGCATCTCACATAGTAAGCATAAATTACATTAAATTATTTGACTAAAATTATTTAAATTAATTGCAACTTAATTAATTAAATTGCGTGACGTCGTTTGCCTGAAATGCCTGAAATATCCGTCACAAATATTTTATTCAAGTAAACATATAACTATTTATAAAAATAAAGTAAAATGTTTAGGGCAATAACGTAATTGTTAAATGCATATTATACCTATGTTATAAGTATACGAGTGTTTATATATTATATAAGTATACATTCATATTATTTATATTGATAATTCGATTTGAATGATGTAACATTTTCACCGAATTTATATGAACACTCGAAAATTATGTGTAGAAGTAAACTAATGTCAATAAATAAAAAAGTACTTTTTAAGATATTATAAGTAAATTTTATACCTTTATCATTAAAACCAATTTAAAGGATCACTTAATGATTATTGCTTACATACCTATAGTTAAACTTCTGAACTAGTTTATTTTATTTATACTTTCATAACTAGCTTATTTAAAAAAAAAAAAAATATTAACTTGATGACAACTGTATACCCAATAATCGACTGGTATACGTAAGTTATAAAAAGGTTAAATTGTAATTTAAGTAAACATATCGCTGTTAATTAATACATAATATATTTTAATGAAAGTTAATATTCATTGGCGAGAATTAGCAGAAGATAGATATAGGTAGTATGTTTATTTAGAGGTATGGTCTTAAATGACCAAAACCAAGAAAGAAGAAAAAGAAAAATATATTTTAAAAACATTATGTGAAGGTATATTTTTTAATAATTTTATAGATAAATGTTTAATTTTTTTGAATCCACCATTATTGAGCTTATCTATTTTGACGAGCCCTTAGTATAATAAAAATTGGAAATTCTCAATAAAAATCTCGTGACGCCCAGATTGCACACCACTGTCATAGATCATGAATATATTACATTTAATTTTTTAATTTTTCAATAGGTTGATAATATCGATAATCATTGATATAATAAGTAGAGACTTTAAATAAAATGATTGATTTGCAAAAATAACGTATAAAATAAATTGTTTTTATATTCATAGTGCGATAATTTATTTGTTAAATCATCAATATGGTTAATTTTAAGATATTAACTGACAAGTCGTTTTCGTAAAAATTTATTTTGTTGCTTCACATTACACTTGTTGCAGAACAAAATAAAATAAAATATAAAAAAAGTATTGAGAAGATATTGTTTTCAAACGTACTTACACCTGTTGTTGGTTTAATATAGCTTTTAGGTACTATGATAGGTAGAGGTAGATTTTATTTTTTTATATCTATAGGCAGTGCCGAAACTACACTAATTTGTGCTCATGTGTATATAAAATGAATGTTCCCCCACGTCCACACTGTGCAGGGAAACCGTACCTTTAATCAATTGTAACCAAATTATTTTGAATTTCAATCATACAGGTCAAAAAAGAAACGTTGATGTACGAGAATGTGTACAAAACAAAATCGGTCAATTATTGCTTAATCTTCATTAATAATTATTATTATAAAATGATTTTATTTTTTTCCTTTTTACATATTTTTCAAATATTATCGTTGGGCCCTTTCATAGGTGAGGGCCAGGGTACACATGTAACCATGGTTTGACACACACAACATACCCGGTTATTGCAAAACTGGCTATAGGCACTTACAATTTGCCGTCCCAATTATATAAGCATATGCTTTGTTTTGTACAATACAAGTGATGTCAAAAGAACATAATACGTGTGACCTGCAATTCTTTGATAAATCATAATCTCTCATATTTAATATTTAAATTACATTTACAATGTACGATTTAGATTAACATTTTAATTGTTAGTGTAAAATATACACATTTGAATTTGTCTTACAATATTAATTTTATAAAAAAAAAAAAAATGTTTTTATTAAATATAGTTACTGACTTAATATGGCACTTATATTTACAAGAAAACTAATGATTAATGGAAGCATTTTGATAAATATCAAATTATTTGCTAATTATTCTACATTCATTTTTCATTTAAAATAATAGGAAAATTGTAAGTGTATTTTATAGAGACTACTATTATTATTTTTATTAGTTTTTGTTTATAGCTTAATGGAATTATCTAATTTTCTTTATAGGAATTAATTACGAAAGAATAATAATCATTGAATATAAAGGTTATTTATTTAGTTAAAGTCAAACAATCTACCATTAGTTTGCATTTATATTTAAAGTAATAAATATTTTGTAATTTTCATACTTTGTTCAAGAACTTTGGATTGGATACTTTATTTATATGTATATTATATGGATATTTTATATATGCCATGATTATTGTAATACCATATAGATACTGAGTATTGGAACTTTATTACTAATTTGTATGGTTTATTATCCACGTGCTATAGAGTATAATAATTACATAAATTGATAAATAATTGATTAATATGTATTAAAATGTATTGATCGTTGTCGCATTAATTTTAATTTCTAATATGTAATAGGCGTTCATACAATCACTCGGGTACATGGGGGTCATTCTTAAAAGAAAACTACACTTGTTTATCTTAAATCCGTGGCTCTGGGGCTTCAGACATTAATCACCAGACATTTAGATGGAGAAAAACAGTTTATAAAAATTTCGAGGTGGCATTAATTCTCATAAATTGGCTCATTCGCCTCGCTAATTCTTTGTTCATACAAAGTAAAAAAAAATAGTAATTTTTGTTATTAAGGACACTAACATTTTTAACATTGGCGATTTCTGTTTCTATTGTGTGACACAATCTGCTTAAATAGGCATAACGAATAATGTATAAGTGAAAGGTACTATATAGAGGCAATATAATACTTAGTTGACACTATTTTATGTGGACAAACGAGTCGCATTCACTAACCGAGGCGTATGTTTTATTACTCTGTATTTAACGGCAAAAATGAAAAATAGATTCTCGGAGAGTGCTTGATTAAACTACAAATAATAATGAACTACAAAAACCTGTTTTACCGAAAAAGCATAGGAAAAAACGTACACGGAAATGTATGAGCTGCCAGCTATGAACTATTGTTTATTATTCTTTTTAAAATACGCGAAATATCGTTGAACAACACGTCCGAATATTACTTAGGTGAAGTAATCGAATCTGATAATAGCTTGAGAACCACTATAGAATCCATTTATGTACCATGTATACGTACTCGATTATAATTACTCAGACCAGACGCGGAAAGCAATCAATACTCGAGTTACCAGCTGAAATTATAGAAAAAACAGCAGGTCGTTGTTCACGGACATAATTTTATAGAAATCTGACAGTTTTTGTAGAGCGCGGACAAGACGAAATTGAACACGGTCAACCGACATCGGTGTATAATAATAATAAACACTACACGTGCACCATGTAAATCAGTTGAGCATTCTACACGTGTTTACGGTGGAAACGGGACAGTTTCGAGTGGTTACCGACTGCAAGGGATGGTTTAGGTAAATCGGTACATACATACGTACACGAGTACACGATTGGCAGTTGGCACAAGCAGAACGTTACTTTAGGTTTCGAACGCGGCGACCGAACGTCACGTGGGCTACAGGGAGATCGTTTCTCCAATATCGTGGACCACAGGCGACGGCGGCGCGGCACTAGCCAATGGTTCCCAAAATGGTCGGAGAAATTATTGAAAACATTGCATCAGCCTTTCGGGCGGCGCGCGACACATGGCATACGATGCCGTCGTCCGAACCACAATCATATGTACACTTATGATAGTAAAATAACACTGATAGCTGCGTGTAAACGCGGTGCACGTGAGTACCCGGTTAATACGAAATAATACACGCAGAAGCGTATTACACGTTAACTGATAATGTTATCTCGTTTAAGACTAATATAGTTTTTGCGTACCTTTTCCTTGGTCCCTCGGTGCGCTATGTTGCCCTGCCAGAACTTTCTGGAGAAACCCTGTACGTAACCGACCATGGAATCCTTGAACTCGAAGCCCGGGTTCCAGCACAACGACCCGTATCCGAACACCCAGAACTCGCGATCCTTGTCCATAACGCGTGACTCGTGCGCTGCCGACTACCGGGTGGTTAACTGTTAACTGTTGAAACGCTCGTTATACGGGATATATCCGTGCTGAAGGGCCGACGGGGCGGAGTTAAGATCGGAGTCGCCGATCCGTGAATGCGCGTGTGAGCCGCGTGAAAAGCCTGGGTGGTCGTGTACGGGTTTGCGGGAAATCAATTACAACGGGGAAAATATTAAAAAAAAAAAAAAAAAAATTAAAAAAAAAAGATGTATACATAAGCACAATCACGCGGAAACGGATGAGTGCGGTGCGGCCACGCGCACTTTGACGTGCGCTGTCAAGTACGCCGAACGGTACTGGTGCAGAGAGCGGCGTTCGCGTCCTACAACTATACCGTGTATATATTATTTTCCCCGACACGTAACAGCGACGGCGCGTTATCCGTCGTCAGGCGACGACGACGGTCAGGCCTCGGCTACGGTAGCGGCGGTCGCGCGGTAGTGGCGAAGGCAACGGCGGCGGCGGTATTGATAACAATTCGCATTAGCGCTTAGATTCTGCGCTGTGTTTTTCTCTGTTTATCGCCGCGTCTTTTTTCCCCTCCGCTGTACACAACACGCGCTCTTATAATAACATAACTCTCTTGTTGTTCCTGCAGCGGGCCGTCACCACCGGGTCAACAGACGTTAACGTTTTTGTACACACATACCGCGCGCGCTCGTTCTTATTCTGTTTTTTTTTCTTTCGTTTATTTATTAATTTTTTTTTTTTTTTTAGATCGTGCAAATATTTTGCACGCGCAATAAGCCGATGAGCCGAGGTCAACGAAAATCATTATAAATATACACACACGTAGCAAAGGACCGTTTACGCATGTTCCCGTTGGCAGGTTGCGTAAATAGAGATAGTGTTGCTTCTCTAGTGCGCACCACGCGGTGTCCGCGCTCATCTAGACACCGGAGTACGCGCGTTATAATACATGCATGTTTACGTCCGACCGCCTTACAACATTAATAACTACCGGGCTTTTTAGTCGAACAACAACAATGTTTCTACCTTGAAAATCCAATCCAAACCACTTTCATTAGATATTAATATTGAGTTATGGTATTATGCAATGTAATATAGATATATGTAAATGTCTAATAATAAATAGCAATAGTAACCAGTATTGCTGAGCAACTATTTTAACATTTCCCATGTCTGATTTTGGATTTCCGAAATCCAAAGAATGCAACAACACTTTTAATCATTGATTTTAAAAAATCTAGTTTAGTACTTGTTTTAAAACACATTGTGCCTCATTTAAGGAACTTGAAATTTAAATATACATAAATGGTTGTATTTATATTTATATTGTTTTTGTATCACTAGCTCTGATCATAAAATATAATACTTGTTTTGATTAGACGCGTGCATTGATATTATTGTGTATCCTTACTTTTTTTATTCATCCTTAACTTTTTCAAAAACAGAAAAAATGTTTTTTGAAGAAACCTTACTTTATTGATCTATTCAGTCTTCACATTTCTACACTTGTCACTTGCGCAACTAACTTCAGTTACTCGAATCTTGTCTCAATACAGTCGCTTACGGAGAAGACTGCGGAAGCCGAAGGATCTTAGCAAATATTCTTAAGACGATTTTTATGTTAAGAAAAAATTGTTTATTTAATATTTAATTAATTATTACACCATACAGTAATGTTTACATGGTGATATCTGATATCTAAGTAATTTATAATATTATAAAAAAATTTCAATACGCGAAACGGTGGATGATTCAGCCCTCTTTCACCCTCCCCCCTTTAAATTCGATATTTTTTGCTTTTATAAAAAAACAGTAACGGCGTCGATCATTATCGGTACTCAACGGTGGATACAAATTACATTAATATTACGTCTATAATGCTTATAATAACAATATTATGAGATAAGTATAAGATATTTTAAAACTACCGAATGCGTTAGCAATTTTTGAGGTTAATTAATTCTCAAATTAAATTTAAATGATTTAATAATACCTACAAACCTACGGATACAAAAATAATAAATAAAATTTCATAATAATTCATAAAATTCTAGTATGATTGGTGAAAAATTCAATAATTTTAATCGAAACTTTGACTGGTTGCCATTTAGTCAGATTTGATTTTACAGCTATGGTAAAAAGGACCAAATCGACTTAAAAAAAATTCGGTCTATCCGAATTTGGTATTCAAAACACCTGTTGCTATTTAAAAAAAATGCAAGTTGTATTGGGCATGCGTACACGGAAAGATCTAAAAATGTAAAAATCATTAAAAAATGTGTATTTATGTATTCCCTATCCCCTCCTGAAAATCGCATATTAATCCGATGTCACTGGACAGAATTATTTAGTGTTACCTTTAAAAGGAAACACACTGTATATATACTCTATACCACGCGATTTTGATAGTTGATTTTTATTGAAAGATAGCTAACCTGAATTCATGTGCAAGGCCGACGGAAGCTATGGGTGTTATAGAACAATGTTCAGGATAACCTACGCACAGAACGGTGCCAAGTTCAAAGTTAAGATTTTAATTGTATACGGATTAAGAAATGTCGTAAATGTAAATAATATTTATTAAAATAGAATGTGTAAAATTTGTGTTTTCATATCATTTAACAACTGATAAACACATACCAGTCTGAATACATACATTATAATATAAAAATCACATAGTATTTTAGATAACCACTTTTCATAGGTGTATGTTTTATATGTGTAATAGAAAAAAACTATTATAATTCTTATGAAATTACTATTCAAAAAATTTAAAAATAATAAAAATATGGTTCATTACGATTTGGCAGTGTTTAGTAAGTAATATTCTTAATTTTATAATAAATAATTACAATTTCTGTTTCAATTCACAATTATAACTTATTTTATGAACCACATCTTCTTTAAACGATTATTAATATTTTATTGTAAGTAGATATGAGGAATTATCAAGATTATTTAAACAAATAATATTAGTATGCTTTATATATTTTTATTTTTATTTACGTTATATTTTCTTAACTTATTTTGTGAATCCATAAATGTTTTTACATGTAAGTAGTAGTACATGTAAGTATATGTATATTTTGGTTTTACTATCTTCAATATAAATGTATACATAAGAAAGAATAAGTTGCAAACAATCATACATAATAAAACTTTAAAATCTGCTAATTGGAACCGTGGATGGAAAATTGGACCACTTCAAATATTTGAACTAAAACGAAGCCTCTGAACATGTAACTGTTTATTATTGAAATAACGGTATTACTATATGCGTATGTACTCGATACTATTCAGGTAGTGATTTCTAGACGAAAAATAATAATTGCGATATCATCGTGTTTGTTTCACGGCGCACCGTCGCGTCATCGTTGCAGTTGTACGCCAATTTGACGAAATGGCAATACGTGCGTCGTCGTAAAACTTGTGTGTATCTCTTTTACGTATATATGAGCATTTCTGTGACGTAAGATTAATACAGTAATATTTGGTTCGAGCTCGCCAAGTATGATAATTCGCGGATCGTGACGAATTGGAGGTCGTTGGACTGATTTGTTTGAAGAACATCCAAGTGTTTCAATTGTTTGTCTTATAAACAACCGAGATTATTGCATTTGTCAACATTGTTTTCATAAAAATTCGATTACTTCATGTCTTTTATTTTAGCGAACTTCTAATTGCCAAAATTAGTAGATCAAGTCGAAACTCAAAATACCAAAAATAAAAAATAAACGCCACAGTTATAACTATGACACAATAAATCACAGCGTTTGTGAAATCAATAATACAAATAATTTAATATACCTAGCATCGAAGTGTTGACTCCCAAGTTTTTATTGCATAAACAAACAATTTATTGTACAAAGTTAAAGGATGTAAAATATTTTTGTAACCTAACCCTCACAACACATTTTGATAAATATTTTATATATTTATTTTATCACACACTTTTTACCAAAAAATATTATTCATTGTTTTTGAAAAACGAATTCAAAATATTTAAATCTCTTAATAAGCTGTATTTTTTTGTCATCATCAAAATATTTTGAAAAATTCTCGGTTAAGTGCTAACTAGTATCAATACGGTTAATTAGTAATGATTAAATTTTCTCGTTGATTTGAAATTAATATTTCCTGATATCTAAACAAAAAAACACACCTCTACGGCCTTCCGATAAGGTGTCTTGCAACATTCTACAGAAGTCGCATAAACTCACAGCGGTAGGCATCTTTAGCCCGTTGATATAAAATTCCATTCTCGAAGGCATCGCCTTTAGTATGGACACAATCTGTAATATTGCATACATTTTACCGTAGTTTAAATATTTCCTCGAATGAATTCACTTAGTTTAAATCACGTATACAAGATAAAAAGTGCCAATTCGATGTCATTAAATTAATTTCCAATTATTAGGTTAAATGAGCATGAATAAATCATCTAAATTCTCTATTTATTCTCGAACTTAGGTTTGATCAATGTTGGGATAGTAGATAGTCAATAAGAAATAAAACACAAAGAAATTAAATAATAATATTTATAAAATGCTATTCATTTAAAATAACTATAAAGAGAAAAAAAGCATACGTTCAAGGTTCTACGGCAAAGAAAGTTGCCAAAAGTAATTTTAAAAATGTGAAGCTTTGAGATGTATGTTATATGTTTTATATATATTAATGTTCTAACAATACATCTTATAAAAAAAATTTGCGTCTTTCATTATTATGATGGTTATTATTAGACTAATGGATAATTTCATAAAAATAATATAAATGACAATTATACAGTTCTTGAATTTTCTAAAAATATCTTACTTTATTTAGATTGTCACATTTATTATATATAAATACATACACGCTATATTCATATATAATAGAAAGAAGTCGATTAGAGACCTAAATAAAATAATGAAAAAGTAAAAGAAATATTTCCCATCCCCGCATTATCATTTTGGACTACTGTGCAGGGCTGTTTTAGTAAGGTATGAAAATAACTTAAAACTAATGTGTTAGGGTGTTCATGTTTATAAAAAATGTTTTTGCTTACATTTGTACACTTCAAAATAGCAAAATATTCCCCAAATATACGAGTATAAAAATAAGAATATTTACCCTATTTTTAATTTATAGAATTTAAAACTTGACAACCCATACATTTCTGGTTCAAATTTAAAAAAAACCATCTACATATAAAAAAAAAAATTTAATTGTTATACTAACCATATGTTACGTTCGTAACGTGTAATATGAATAAAACAAAATATCTATAAATATTCTAAACCGTAATATTTGATCGAAATTAGTTTTTTTTTTATATATACCTATGTATTTTTTGTTTGAAAAAATATTTTTAAATAAAAATTCATTAAATATGAAAAAATTGAAATTTCTTAGTAAAAAAAATTAAAATATCAGAAATAGCAAAATAATAATAATGATACTTACATTGGATGCAAAAATTACATATAATTTACTGTCTGTTTAGTTAGGAAA